TTTCCCCTATCCTCCTCCCCCTACCCCCTCTCCCCTGGCCCCTCTCCCCTGACTCTTTTCCCTTGCCTGCCCCCTCTCCCCTGTCTAGACTGGCAGCTTTCATTTCTGGTTTGGCCACTCGTTCAATAGCACTCAGACAGCCAGTCCATGCACAGGCTAATCTGGGAACTGGGACGGGGAAGTCCTGCCTCGAGGAGCCCTTTGCCCATGGGCACAGCACCTGCCCCTTGCCCCGCCCCCAGGGTTCAGAGGTCTCTGGACTTTTCTGGTGCCTCATCAAGAAAGGCTGCTTTTGAGGCTGCAGCTGGTATGCAGCAGGGAGCTGGTTTGGCTTCCTGCTCCTGTGCCTTTGCCACTGTCGGGCCGGTTCTTTCTCAAGAACTTTCTGTTGTGAGCATCCTTCAGGCTGCCTGGCCCATCTCTGGCCTCGGGGCTGCCTGTGCTCTGTGAGCTTTCCTGTCGCGTGTCCTCTCTGGCCTCAGCCTGTGGTCTAGGTGTCTGCCCACAGGTCCGGAAATCCTCTGCACATCCGCCCTTCCCAGCGTCCTGGCAGTGGTCAGTGCCGCTGCAGATGGGTTCGGAGTCCTCAGTCCCATGAGCCAGGGCAGCGCTGCCCACTCAAACACCTGGGTGGAAAGTGGACTTTGGGAACAGGCTCGAGACTCTGACGGACCCAGCTGGCCAGGATGGACCAGCTGAGTCTGATGGACCCTTGCTGTCCTTGGAACAGCCTGGTGCCTCTCTGGCTCTGTGTGAGTGTGTGTTGAACAAATGCGAGAGGAGGCTCCCTTAATGGCCCAGGCCAGGCCCTGAGCGAGGCCCCGGTGGAGAGGTGGCAGTCACCGTCCTCACCCAGGAGTCCTGATGAGAAGCTGGGGCCGTGGGGCCTGGAGACACGGCTGCAGCCCGGACCCTCCCTGCGTGGCCTTGGCCTCTCCGCAGCGCTGGCATGTGGTCTGAGTGCTGCCCCCTGCAGACAGGGCTGTGTTGTAAAACCAACCCCCTCACCCCCCCCAACCCGCATGTCCAGATTGGTAGCAAAGTGCTGGTAGCCACCTGGGTCTGCCTTCCCAGGGAGGTCCCCTGGCTATGGGACTGTGTGACAGCTGTGGTTCCAGGCCTACTGAACCCCTGCTCTGTACCTGCCAGGGCCCAATTCCAGTACCAGGCATCACAAACCCACCAAGAGACTCTGACCTTTGGACAGAGAAGCAGGGAGCAGAGGCCCTGCAGGAGATGGCAAGGGGAGGGGGGTGCAGCCGCAGGGGGAGGGGGTGCAGTGGTTGGAGGTGAGGAGGCAGCTGTTCTTGGGTGCACTGGTTTCCCTGGGCGGGGCGGGGGGAGGGGGGAGTGGGGGGGCATTCTTAGGGAGCTCTGGGCCACAACCAAAGGGGTATTCGCTGAGAATGAGAGCTTTTCTCTGCTGCACCCCCAACTTGGCCTTCTTCCCTGCAGCCGATCTACACAATGCAACCAACCTGCGGTCTCGGTCCCTGTCTGGCACGGGGCGGTCGCTGGTCGGGTCCTGGCTGAAGCTAAGCCGAGCTGACGGGAATTTCCTTCTCTATGCACACTTGACCTACGTCACTTTGCCGCTGCATCGGATCTTAACAGGTAATGAGGCCGGCTTCGGGGCAGCGCTCGGGGCCAGGGCGCCAAGGCTGCCTTGTGGGGCTCCTTGTGGGCTTGGCTCTCAGAACCAGCAGTTCGCTCTGTACCCCTTCCTGGGGTCCTCGCTGCTCCCTCCCGCACCATCCCAGGCCCCGCCCCGCGGCCTCAGGGCTGGGTTCTGTGTACTCCTGTTCCCCTGGGGGTCTCTTCTGCTGGGCCTCAGCTGGGCTTTGGCTGTCTGTGTTAGGGTAAGTTTGGAATGTAGGCTGCAGGGGCCGGCTGGGGGGGTCTGCAGCTCTGTGAGGCCTTGGCAGAGGTGTCCAGGCCATAGCAGCTCCCTTCCCAAGAGTTGTCAGCCCAGGCATGTGGCTCGGGCGAGGTGGTCTGGCATGGCGGCTCAGGCACGGTGGTGGCTCAGGTGTGGTGGCCACCTGAGCACAGCGGCTTGAGTTTCTTTGTCCTGCCTCCTTCCCGCCGCCCTAGACATCCTGGAAGTACGGCAGAAACCCATCCTGATGACCTAATGTGCGCAGAGCCTGCGGAGCCCCGGCCCACCTGGCCCTGGGAATGCTGCCAAGTGCCTACCTGCCACCGCCACCAAGGTCTTCTGTAACGAGCCAGCGCCAGCGCCGCAGCCATGCAGGGCCACTCGACTCCTGGGGCCTGGGCCAACTCCATGAACACCAGCCCAAACTGAAGTGCCTCGTCCTCCTCCATGCTGGCTCTGCGCCCCTGTGCCCATCCCCGGCACCCCAGCCCATTTGCAAAGAGCCTTCTGCACCCAACGAGGGTCGGAGACACCAAGAGGCCGGCGCCCCGCTCGGGCCCTCAGTGAGCCAGACTGTCCATGTCGGGGGTTTGTAACGTGGTACTGATGACGTGTGTCCAAGTCGGCCCCACCTCCCGCCCTACTTACCACTTTTGTCACGGTCGGTCACTGTGGGGAGTCTGGTGGCTTTGCCCCAGGCTGTGAATACCTCTCCCCACGGCAGGTCCAGCCAGATCAGCCTCGAGCTGAGCACACAGGCCCCGATCCTTCCAGAATGGCCTTTTGCTTCCAGCCAAAGAACACCGCCAACACACACCTCCAGTCCCAGGACACCCTGCTCCGGCCTTGGCGGCCGAGCCAGAGTGTGCATTCTGAGGGCAGGTGGAGATCTGGTAGTAGGCAGGATGGGACCTGTGCTGCGGGGGCTGATGTGGGCTGGGGTTGGATCTGCCCTGGAAGGCTGTGGGCCAGGCATTTCCTCTCCCGTTCCTCCAGCCTGTGTCCTCTGGCCGGGGCGCAGGCCGGGGCACAGACAGAGGAGCCGCCCAGCCGTGCGGGAGCATTGAGCCAGCTGCCGGTGCAGCCGAGGCCTAGCAGCGCGCGCTCAGGAGCCGAGGCCCCTCTTACCAACCGGAATCCACTGGAAGCTGGGCCTTACGTTGCTGGGCTCCGGCAGCGTGTGCAGAGATCCCTGGTGGGCAGAGGAGGGAGCGGGAGCCTGCTCTCCCATGGCCACTCTGCCTGCTCCAGAAATGGGGACTGCTTTGGGCCTTTCTCGAGATTTTGTATGTTGTTATTAAAAACAAGCTATTGCATTTCGTTCTGCCTCAGTCTGCCCACCTGTAAATGGGGCTGATACCACGTACCTCACTGAAGTCTCCAGGGCTTTGTGCACCACCGCCAAGGAGTGGTCACAGCCATCTCCAGCGTAGATTGGGCCCACGGAGGCCCCGCTCCCGGCCCGGCCCGCTGTGTGCCTGCTGCGTCACTTGTGGTGGGTGGGGCCCCGTCCTGCTCAGGCCGCGCCGCCTCCCGGCTCCATCAGGGTCCTGTGACCAGTGTCTGCAGGCCGCAGAGTTGGGTCCTGCCCAGGGTGTCCGAGCAGAGCGCTCTGGGCACCACTGGTTCTGCAGTGCCGCCACCATGTGTGGCCAGCACCAAACGGCTTCCGGACCTTTGCCTCCCTGGACTGCCTGGGAGCTCAGGAGGAACATAGTCCTGACCAGTCTCCCTGGGAGGGCGGGGTGGTCCAGGCCTGGCAGCAATGCAGTGGCCCCTGCATGCACGGAGCGAGAAGCCTCCAGGGCACCTGTGGAGCCAGGTCCAGCCCCGAGGCTCCGCCGGGCACTCCTGGCTGGGCCCAGCAAGGGCTGGCTCTCTGTAAGATGGGGTGATTGTGGGGTCAGGTGCAGGAATGTGAGGATGTGCTACCCAGGGACATCCCTCGGGATTGGATCACAATGTGTGGCACCTGTGGCAGGCAGGCCTATCCCAGACGTCCAGGGAGCGCTGATGTTGCCGCTGAGGAAACAGAGTGGAGCTATGAGGCGCAGTGGCTCAAGTCAAGCTGGACGTGAGGCCCTGGCACGGCCAGACCACTCAGCGCTGCTGCACACATGGCCAGATGCTCAGCTGTGTCTACCTTTCTCAGTCTTTAAATTCTTCTCCAGGTAGCACTTCTGGTCCTGAGTGTGAGACTTGCCCACAGGCACTCAATAACTAGACTGTGAGCTGTCACTTTTAAGTTTGCTTTTCAAAGTACTGACATCAGCCAAAAAGTGATAGAGAGCTGGGTATGGTGTGCCCAGCATGGGGGGGGGGAGGGGGAGGGGGAGTTGAGGCCAGCCTGGGTTATCTAGTGAGACTTTGTCCTAAAATGGTTTTCCGAAGCAGGACTCAGAGATCTGGTGCTGACACAGATTTGCTCCCTGAAGGCCGTCTTTGGTTTTCCTGGGGACACACCTGTCTCCTGTACAAGATGAGGGTGACGCAAGCATGCCCAGACACGCCTTCCGTGAGAACTGGAATGGATTCCCTAGCAGGAAATGTAGCTATCAGAGAGGAAAACCATGTTCGTTCTGATTTCCTCTTGTTTTTGTTTGTTTTAGAAGAAAGTCACAGTTTATCAGTGTTTCTGCTTAGACCTTTCAACACTTGTTGGCTCAGAAAGGCTCATCCCGCAGAGATTCCGTCAGCGGGTCATGGGGAAGTAGCCCAGCCTCCGCGGCCCTGTCCGGCCTCCAGGCAGCTTTTCTGGCGAGCAGGGCCCTGGCTGGCATGTAGACACCTGGAGGACTGATGGGCTCACAGAGCTTCCGGTTAACAGAGTGCGAACAGGAAGGTGCGTTTCTGTGCTTGCAGCCAGCGCCAAGGATCTGTTTCAGACGTTTCAGTCATCAACTGGCTAGAAGACTTAGGTAAATGCAGGCAAAGCTTTGTTCTCATTCAAAGACCTTCCAGTTCCTCTACTGACAGTGCACCCAAGTGATTGAAACCCAGATGTAGGCATTTGGCAGTGTCCTGGTGGTTTCAAATGGCTGGTGAAAGCCAGGCACCAGTGGCTCGCGCCTATAATCCTAGCTGTGCAGGAGGCTGAGATCTGAGGATCGTGGTTCAGAGCCATCCCTGGCACCAAAGTCCGTGAGACTCTTATCTCCAATAAATCACTCCAAAACTGGAAGTGGTGCTGTGTGGCTCAAGTGGTAGAGCGCTGACCTTAAGCTGAAGAACTCAGGGACAGTGCTCAGACCCAGAGTTTAAGCCCCATGCCCGAGGGGAAAAAAAAAGTTACAAAAAAAAAAGCTGGTTAAAATCTTTAGGGGTGTTGGGCAGTGGTGGCTTATGACTGTAAACCTAGCTACTCAGGAGGCTGAGATCTGAGGATTATGGTTTGAAGCTAGCCCGGGCAGAAAATTCTGTGACTCATCTCCAGTTAACCACCAGAAAGGCTAGGAATGGAGTCGTGTCTTAAGTGGTAGTGTTAGCCTTGAGCAAAAAAATATTCAGGGACTTCAATTTAAGCCCCAGGACTGGTGTGCATGCATGCATGTGCACACGCACACACACACACACACACACCCTAGACATCTTTCGGAGCTCCCAGGACGGGAGCAAGCCTGCCAGCCTGCCATGGAATTCAGCCGCTGTCACTGCTGTAATTGTTTGCTGAGGCTGCCTCTATGTTAGAAGGCAAAATAGCTTCTAGTAAACCTGGCCTTCTAACACAATAAGGACGAGCAAGGGCCTGAGCTTGAATGAAAGTAGCCTTTGGAGGCTCCGTTCATCTCAAAGGGAGAGCTGCTCATAGGCCAGGTGGGGAGGGAGTGGAGAATCAGCCAACGGACAGATCGTAGGCCAAGTCCTCCAGCGCCTCTCGCTGCCCCACAGTCTTGTCTTCTCTGGGCCTCTCTTCCTAATCCACAGGTTTCGGTACAAGTAGTGAGCCCTTGTGGTTTCCAGACACCCTGTGTGGGAAGGTAAAGATCTACAGACAATGTTGAGGCTACCTTGGGAAATCTGTGAAAATACATTGGCACAAACACCACGGTGGTATACATTGACTATATTAGTGTGCTAATTGCCAGTGGCGGTCTCATACAATGATGTGCCACCAACGGATGCCATCTTCCACATCTACGACAACCATCATGAGGTCGCATTGGTGCTCAGCTGTTCTCGATGCTTTTTGATTTTGCTGCTTTGGAATTCGCTTTGCATACTGGATGCTCAGCTTATTTTCCCTTCTGGTTTCCTCCTGGTCTGTACCTAGTTGTTTTTTTTTTCCTATTCTACCCATTTCAGATTCATTGCAGACATTAAAGCAAAACAGTAGTAAAATGATTGAATTTTAATTTTGTCCCACAGGGCCCTAAAGTTTTCTTTTGAAACGTTTACACGAAGTAATGTTTTGACACCAAAAAAATGTTAGCGGCTGATCATGTGACCTGTGCTGTATCTGGCGTAGCCGGAGGTGGCCCCAGTGCCCGCCCTGCCACTCCTGCCGCTCTGTAGGCTGCCGAAGGAGCGCGTGCCAGAGCTGTCTGTCTGCTCTCAGGCTGGGGAGAGCCAGCCTCAAGGCCACCATGTGGCCACACAGACTCCTCATACCACCAGGGGACGGAAGGCCACCAGCAGGCAGTTAGAGAGAGGTAACTGAACGCAGCCAGGTCTCAAGATCATCTTGCTGTCCTGCCTGACCTCTTGTTAAGACCTTTTAAAGCTGTGGCCTGCAGTGTGTTTAGGGAGGAGCCTGCCTTGGAGGCCTCATCCCTGTTACTCTCGGGTCTCGGCTTCTCACCCATGTGGCTTTTCAGAGTTCCTGTCACCCGCCTAGAGCCTGTGCTCACGGGAGGGAAGTATGACGACCCGCCCATTGCGTACATCCACGTTGCCTGGAGACCTGCTGTAACCGCGTGGGAACGGGCTGGTGGAGGAGCTCTGCCTGCCGCCCGGCAGCCTCCCGGCAGCCGCGTTAGCCAGATGTTTCTTTCCTCTGTGTGATGCAAGGCTTTCACTTTGGAATCTTCCTTTAATAAAACAATTAGGTTGCTCAGTTTGAAATAATCATGGTTTTTAGTGAACGTTGATTATGTTTGAAGTTTTGCTCAAAAGACTAGCCCGTTCCAGACACCAGAGTGGTTCTGTTAGGGAGAGAGCCCACGCAGCTCCAGGATGCCTCGGAGCCAGGCACAGGCTTGGCACCCGACCCACGGCTGGATTTCTCCCCAGGGAGCGAGACCGGGTTGGGAGCTGAGGCTGCCTACTGGGTCTGCCCCTGTGGGCCGGCCCGTGCCAGCCCAGTGGCTGCGGCAGTCTTTGGGGATGCAGCCAGGGTGATGCTTGTGCGGCTGTGGAGGTACTGAAAGCCACTGAACCAAGGATGGCTCTGCTATGTGAATCTCATCCCAACCTAAGCAGCTGAGGTTCAAGTTCGGGGCGGGGCCGGGCTCACGGCGCTGCGGGGCGGCTGGTCTGGGCCGAGATGGACCGCAGGCCTGCTACAGCGCAGGCACCACTGGGCTTTCCAGGTGGCCCCTGCTCAGCTCAGCACAGCACAGCAGAAAACATTCCAATGGCTGACCTAATCTTAGTTTTTTGTCTTTTTAACCAGTCCTGGGGCTTGAACTCAGGACCTGGCACTGTCCCTGAGATTTTGTGCTCAAGGCTACTAGTTTTGAGCCACCATTTCTGACTTTTTGGCAGTTAATTGGAGATAGTCTCATGGCCTTTCCTGTCCAGGCTGGCCGCGATCCTCAGACCTCAGCCTCCTGTGTAACTAGGATCACAGGCTGGAGCCACGGGCACCCGGTCTTTGTGGCAGTTTTTTTAAAACCAGAAAACATGTATATTAGATAAATGCTGAAATAGGAAACCTCAAAAAGAATGGGCATTGCCGGGTCAGTGGCTCACGCATGTAATCCTGGTCCCTCAGGAGGCCGAGTTCCAGGGGGTTATGGTTTGAGGCCAGCCTAGGTGGAAAAGTCCATGAGACTTCATCAGAATGACTGGGAAAACAAGACTGGAGGTGTGGCTCAAGTGGCAGACCACCAGCCAAGCAAAGCAGGCCAAGCGAAGAGCCAAGTTCAACCCCAGTGACACACAAAGACCCGAAATTCTATTAATTGTATTAGAACAATGTTATTGCCTGAAAAGGTTTTCTGGATCAAAAATGTAAAATTATAAACTCAAGCAAATGTTCTAAATTGTGTAATTTCAAAGCATCATTTTGAGGCTGTTTTAAAATGTTCTTAGCTCAGTAGAGATACACACTTGCACACAAATCCCCGTCACTGCTTCTGCAGGGGAAATGGAATCTCAGGCCGCCCATTCATGGGTCCAAGTCTACTTGAGATGTAGCCACTCCCTGAAGCCCCAACACTGTGCTGTGTGCAAGGGCCAATCTGATCGTAACCCCATCCTGACCCTCAGCCTGACTCCAGGCACCACGACGCTCAGGAGCCTCTCGCTCGCTTGCCTCCAAGTCAACCTGTCATTTCAGGAAGTTTCTGGACATTGCCAGGCTTGTGTCAACGCCCAGTGAATCACAGAGAAACATCAGAGGGAAACATGAGACACTGATTTCTTTACTTCCCATTTATTCACATTGACGGATTGTTACACTTCTCAATAGGATCGTTCAAAAACTAACACATGAGATTTTATTGGTGGACAATTCAAGTTGTTTTAGTTTTAGAAAGCAATTTCCTATTTAAAAAGCCAACAATTAATCCATTTGCTTGTGGAGAAGTTGTATGCTTCCCTTACAATTAATTGCATCTGCATGGAATGGACGTCCAGTCCTTGGTTCCGACCACCACAGCACTTGGCCAAAGCATGCCGCTAGGGGCCTTGTGCTCAGTGCGCAGGCTCAGAAACCTGCCCATTTTGGAGGAGCTTCTGACCGTACACAAGCTCCGTGCCACTGGTCTGTTGTTACAATTCCCACTTTCAGAATGAGGACACTAAAGTCCAGAGCGGGTTTCTAAGGGCATCAGGCTAGCGTTTGACTCCAGAACTATTCGCCTGACATGCTCAGAACAAACCTGTTACCTTTAACCACATGGAGAAGGCGCTCAGTGAATGTCTCTCTCAGCTCTAAGAGCAGTAGGTGAATTGTTTCTCTCCACCTACAACAGGTAGTTTGTTAAATTACTTTTTGGCATGCAGCATATAAAAATATGATATAGAATTGAGATTGTAGAACAGAATAACCGTCCTGAAGAAAAGCAATCCATGGACGGTCTGACTAGCATCTCTAGGTAAAACACAATCTAAAGTCCTTTAAAAACCCTGGACATGTTTCCAGTGTGTGATGCTAAAAAGGAAGACAGCAGAACTCATTTTTTTTTGCTTCCTGGGAATGTGCAAACAGAAACGCTGATGCCTGCTTCTGGAAAGCAAGGCCACAGGGACACTTAGTACTGTGAGGATGGAGTAGGCCACAGGGACACTTAGTATTGTGAGGATGGAGTTCCACTCAGAATAAAAACCCAACAAAACAAAAACTCACCTTAGGCCAAATCCATGTTACAACTCAGAGACCTTTAAACCAAGAGTAAAATTTCACTTCACATTAGACATTTAAAAATTTCTACCATTGTATCAAAACTAACATCACTATGAGAGTCAATTCACTGCTCACAAAGATGGGGAACACACAGACGGTGCCCTGCGCCTTCCCCAAGTAACGAGATACAATTACAACAAAATGCACACAGTCAGGCTCTTTTTTATGGGTAGAGAGCAACAAGTTTCCTAAAGCATCAGAGATCAAGGAAATGTCACATTGTCAATTATGGTATACAGATCACATTTTCCCCTGTAATTTTCACCTCAACAGTGATAATCTTAGCAGCAAACATTTGCAGGGAATGTCAGGAAAAAGGAAAACCACATATCCAGCCATTTAAAAATAACCTTGGAGGGGGGGGAGGTAAGGGGAGAAATCCAATCATAACCTTCCCATATTGTTTTCTGTAAATACTGCATACGCAGGGTAGCAAGCGTGACACACGACACACGCATGTGTGGCTAAGCTGTAATGTTCTGTGTTCCCTTCCTCTTTGAGAAAGTTACAGGCCAGGCACAGGAGGCTGAGATCTGAGGATCATGGTTCAAAGCCAGCCTGGGCAGGAAAATCAGAGAGACATCTCTAATGACCAAAAACAATCCAAAAAAAAAACCCTGCTGGAAATGGAGCTGTGGCTCAAATGGTAGAGCGCAAAAATGCTAAAGGTCAGTGCTCAGGTCCTGAGTTCAAGTCCCAGTATTAGCACACACAAAAAAGTTAGATGAATCTCTCTAATGTGAATAGGACCGGGTCAGTGCTATTTTTATCCTATCAACCACTTCCTTACTGTAAATCTACTAACCAAGTCATAAGCACTCTCAGTTCTACAATGTAAATGCAAAACACCAGAGCTAAGACCTGGACCATGTCCTACTGACCAAAGCCACACACCGCCAAACTCTCACACTGGGCTCAGAACCAGCACAAGCAACATAACAATCCCATGATGGCCGCGTCCCATGACCTTCCATCTGAAGTTAACCAGGTGCCATCCTAACACTCTACACAGCTTACATCAAGAGACTGCAGTTCCAAAAAGCCACCCCCCCCTCCAGCCACTCTGCTGGCTCCCCGTCAGATCACGTGACATCGCAGAGAGGCAAACGTGCAGGTTATGAACCCCTGGGCACCGGCCGGGCTTGAAAGATCTGGAGCCGGCCTGGCATGGCAACCAACTGGGACACACAGCTAGTCTCAGCTCTGTACCGTCTGCAGACCCAGTGCTGCCAGCCAGCCACTGTGCTTCACATGGCTTTTGTCCAAACGGGCGCCTGAGTACCTCACTTTTAAAGTAAGGTGTCAGTCAGATAGCAAACGCGTACCAGACTGCTAAGCTAAAGGCAGAATCCCACAATCCCTTCCCATCGTCCTCGGTCTGCTGGTGAACTCAATGGCTCCTGTGTACGTCCACGGGGCCCATGGTACGATGTCCGTGCGCCCCGCTTCCTGTGTAATGCGGTTTCACACTGACTCTCCTTCATAAGGGTTTTTCCCATGGTCTAGAAATAATAAGATACCAAATTTGTGCTTTTAAAAACCCATTCCTGGTGTCCCTCCCTTCCAGACTGTCTCAGGGCTGAAGTGACAACACCTCACAAAAAAAAACAACAACAACAAAAAAAACACCACCCTTTTTACAACTAAGCAGCCGTGCCTGGATTCTGGTAAAGCAGGGTTGATCGCAGGGTGAAGGGCAGCGTCTGCCCGCGGCAGGTGACCAGCTCCACAGTGCAGAGACCAACAGTGCAGTGGACAGCAGCAGACCGAAGCGGCGGACAGCACCCGGCACAGCGCCTGGCACGGTCCGTTCAGAGGGGCAAGGGATGTGGGCAGAAGGCCGCCACGGAGGCCTCACCGGATTATCAGAAGGAGTTAATTGGTACCCTGATCACAGTCCATTAAGAAATCACTTATGCTTAGTTTAATCAGTAAGTGAACATTAAAAAAAAAATCTCCCCAAAATTCCCAAAGTATTTTGCAATTGGTTCTTAAAAAGGGAGAATAGTTGTTTGACACTTAACTTTGAAAGGTTTTATTGGCCTTAATCTTCCTCACAAAAGTTTTGAAGTTGTCTAGAAGTCCTTAGAATGTCAAAGTAGGAAGGAAAGCTAGGCTGGGGTGGCAGGGTGGCGGCGGGGAGGCGCGGCGCGGCGCGGCTCTCAGCACTCGGTGCTCATGCGTCCTTCTTCTCCAGTAGGATTTTGTGCAATTCGTCGGCATCCTCGCTTGTTTTTACCCGAATCAAGATGGGGACGGGGGCAGTGGCGTTCTTCTCGTCAAGCGGAGGGTTGGGGACGCAGACGATCAGCACGTTGTTCTTCCCTGTCCGGGAGCATGGCATGCCGGGCGGGACCAGGACGTTGAGCAGTATGTTGCCTGCAGTAAGACAACACAAGAGACGCACATCGAATCCCGAAGCACAGCTGGAGAAAGGCGTGAGGACAGGTTGGAGCGGCTTCTACTCTTGGATGCACCTTGCATGCAAAACTGGAAGCCAGCCGGGCGCCGGTGGCTCACGCCTGTCATCCTAGCTACTCAAGAAGCTGAGATCTGAGGATCGCAGTTCAAAGCCAGCCCAGGCAGAAAAGTCTGAGACTCTTATCTCCAATGAACCACCAAAAAGCTGGAAGCAGAGCTGTGGCCCAAGCAGCAGAGCACTAGTGAGAGCAAAAAAGCTAAGGGGCAGCAACCCAGGCCCTGATTTCAAGCTCCAGGACACCCCCATAAACCAACGCCTGGCATGAGCCCAGCAAGGGCTGCTGGGCAAAAGCCACGTTTGTAATAACAGCTATTACAAATGCGTCTATGACCAATGCGTCGGGCCACAGGAAAGAAAAATGATGCCTTTGTGGGTTTTCCTGTAAGGCCTGGTGGAGGCCGGCACCACCGCCTGCTCCTCCGCCTGCGGCGCGTGCTCCCTGCCATCCTCCGCCCTCTCGAGGACTGAAACCAGGGAGGAAAAGGCTCCGTCCGGCACCACCTGACACAAAGGCAGCCATCCACGTGGGGGAGCAAAGGAAGGGGTGCCGCCCACGTGCGCATTGCCCAACCACAACCCTCTACAGCTGCTCGGTAATAACATCAAACCATGGAATAATCAAGGTACCCACCTAGATTGGTATCGGCCCGCACTAGTAGCTGCGTTTTTTGATTTGCTGTAGGCTTTAGATGCAAGGTGCCCACACCTTTCTCTTTAAATTCATTGTCTTTCTTGTAAAATAGTTTACACCTGTGTGGAAAAAGAAGCATGACCCCAATTCAAGAACAAGTCAGTCTTCTAACAGCCGTTATGTCCACTTGCGTGGCCAAGTCTGTATTAAATCAGAGCAGAAAACCAGTCTTTATCGGTATAGAGTAATAAAAGCTACACAGCGCTCATGTGAGTGCTCAGGCCAGGCCTGAGGACAGCAGCAGGCCCATGCTGTGCTGCCTTGTGAATCCCTGCCACACGCATGTTCCACTGTGCCAAGTTCTCTTCAGGGATCCTCCAACGTTTTTCTTTTTTGCCAGTCCTAGGGCTTGAATTCAGGGCCTGGGCGCTGTCCCTGAGCTTCTTTTGCTCAAGGCTAGCACTCTACCACTTGAGCCACAGCCTTTTCTATTTATGTGGTGCTGAGGAATCACACCCAGGGCTTCAGGCATGTGAGGCAAGCGCTCTACCACTGAGCCACCTTCCCAGCCCAGATCCTTCCATTTCTGACTTCCCAAAACAATGAGTGAGAAAATACTCTCAGGCAGGGCCCAAGCAATGAGACAGACTCTAGGACTGCGCCGGAGTCGCCAGCAGTCAAAACCACTCCCTAGACATCTCTCTCCTTCGGGACAGAAAACAAAACAAAACAGTCCCGGTCAGCCAGGCAATCGAAATTAAAGTAACTGCTAGTCTCTTCAAAGCTCTCAAAATAAATGTTGCAGGATGTGACTTGTTAAAGGAAAAACTGTTGACCCGTGCTTCCAAAGTTTTTATTAGAAAACATAGCCTGGAAAGCTTCCGAACAGGAAGTATGCATACATACTAAGTACGTATATACAAAGTAATCTCATTTAGTTAGGAAGATCAAATCTCCCTTCCAGCTGTTAAGAGGCAACTCTCATTTTAAATTAGCCAACAAACACGTCTATAAACTCTAGCTCCTCTAGAGGTGGAGATCTGAAGGGCTGCGTTTGGGCCAGCTTAGAAAGTTAGTGAGACCCCATCTCAACCAACAAGCTGACTGGTGGTATACTTTGGATCCCGCCTACAAGGGAGGCTATAGGTAGGAGGATTGTGAGGATTGTGGTCAAGGCCGGCCCCAGGCAAAAATGAGAGACCCTTTCAAACAAAACAGAGCAGGGACAGGACTCAAGGGGCAGAGTCACCAAGATTTTCAAAAAAGACCCCAACACCAGCAGCTCCGCCACTGGAGGAGCCGCATCAGCCAAGGGCTGGGTGTGTCCCGTAGGAGCAGAAGTGAACACAACCCACCAGCAGGAACACGGTGACTTTCTTTGTGGGGGAAGAAGGGGTGGGGGGCATGGAGAAGACGGTGAGAAGGGGATTCTGGAAACGTCCATGTCTGAAGCATTTTCAAAGCCGAGACACAGCTGAAGTCACAGAAAGTGCGCCCACTTACTTTTTGGAGTAGAAAGCATCTTCTTCCTTCACCTCAATCACCACCACCTTGGGGGGCTCGTCACTCTCCTCCTCGTCCCCACCTGGCACAGAACGACAAGCTGGTCAGCCACACCGACACGTGCCAAGAGCAGAAGCAGGCCCGTGCGCTACCCGGAGACGGCGGAACCTGTCTCCTCAGGGAGGCAGCCCTGGGGCTTCGGACTGCGAAACACCATCCAACGGCCACCTCCGAGGCCTTCTCGCCCTCCATCTCTGAAGGCTCCATGACCCCCAATCCCACAGCGCTAGGGACCCCAGAACCAGCAGTGCCGGGGCAATGGGAACGGCGGCTGCCTGAGAAGCCGCTCAAGCCAGGGCTCGCGGTGTAGGCCGGCGGGGCTGAGCTAATTAGCCAGGCGGAGGCTCGCCTCTGTGGCAGAGGATACCACGGATCTGTAACAGCTCGGGGGGCTTCCGTCACGGATCTAAGCTGTCGGAGGATGAGGCGCGGAGGCCTAGCATCCCCTGGGAGTTTTGTTTTGCTTGAACTCGCGGCCTGGGCGCTGCTCAAGGCAAGTGCTCTACCACTTGAGCCATAGCACCACTTCTGGTTTTCTGGTGGTTCACTGGAGATCAGAGTCTCATGGGCTTTCCTGCCTAAGCCGACTTTGAACTGAGACACTCATCTCAGCTTCCTGAGTAGTGAGAATTACAGGCAAGAGCCACCGTTGATGAAAGTCTCCGCAGTGGAGCGGAGCGCTCTGGGGAGCTGCGCCCGGGCTGTCTTGTGGGCGCACAGGGCGACCTGCACGGCAGGCTCCGTTGGATTAAGCATCGCTGTGATCCTGCAGCCGCCGCCACAAGCCTGCGTGGGGCTCGTGTAGGGAAGAGGCCAAGCCAGCATGCAGGAGCGCCACCGGACAGACAGCAGTACCGCAGAGACAAGCGGCTGAGCCTGGCCCGCCCCTCACAGGCCCACGAGCGGGCGCCTGAGAGCCAAGAACAGGGAACAGAGGCTGGGGGTTAAGGCCTGGCCTTCTGCTGGCCTGAGGCACTGATCACACAGAACAGGCACATGGAAGCCAGACCCTTCCCAAGGGAAGCTGCGTGCAGACCTGTGGGAACACTGGACAAGCTAGTCTTCTAGTAGAGCCCAGTCATTTATCTAGTCACATCTCCAAAACATAAACCAACTTGGGGGAATTCACGCTGATGCCGAGCTTTTTAAATCAAAGCTCTAAAGTGTGAGCTGACTGCTTTTCTGCGCATGTGGGGAAGGGCTGACCTGAGCCCCGCCCGCCCTGCAGTAAGCCAAGCGCTGGCCACTGACGGGTCTCTCCAGCCTCACTTCCTGTGTTTTGGCTTTTCTTGGTTTACAGTAACTGCACACAAGTGGCTTCAGTGAGAGCTAGCCATGGACGCGCACACTATACTCTGAACAACTTCTCCTCCTCCAGGAAACCCTTAGCCCTTCCTCCCTCTTTACAAACAGTATTCAGTGGGTTTGGCCGAGTTATCTTCAAACTGTGTCGCTTAGCTTTTCAGCTCACAGCTGGTGAAATACTTCAGCCATGCCTCCAGCCCAGCTTTTCACTGGATAACTAGAGGAGTCTCTAAAGCTTTTCTTTTCTGCTCCAGCTGGCTATGAATCCTCCTGAGTAGTTCAGATTACAGGCATCAACCACCAGTGCCCGGCTTCATTTTCTATTCTTAATTCTTGTAACCACCCTAGAGAACAGGCTCACTCTACCACTCTGAGCAGTGGAACACACACAATGTAAATCCAGATCTTCCCTCAAAGCCTGTGCTTTCCCCACTACAAAACTTACATGTGGGGCTGGGAAGGTGGCTCAGCAGTAGAGTGCATGCCTTGCAAGCATGAAGCCCTGGGTTCGATTCCTCAGCACCACATAAACAGAAAAAGCCAGAAGTGGCGCTGTGGCTCCAGTGGTAGAGCGCTAGCCTTGAGCTGAAGAGCTGAGGGACAGCGCCCAGACACAGAGTTCAGGTCCCATGACAGGCAAAAAAACCCCCAAACAAACAAAACTTATATGTAAAACCTATGAGGATTGGGCAATGGTGGCAAACACCTGTAATCCTACTCAGGAGGCTGAGATCTGACCATAGCGGCCAACAAATCCACCAATCCATGAGGCTCTCCAACTAATCACAATAAAGCTGGCAGTGGAGCTGTGGTGCAAGTAGTAGAGCACAACCCAGAGGAAAAAGCCCCGTGAGAGCGTGATGCCCTACACGAAGTCAGACAGCAGCAAGACCAATGGGGAACTTCTCAAGGACAAGCCTCGTTTACCTTTGCATTCATTACTAACGCCTTCCGCTGGGCTCTCGGAGGTTTTAGCAGGAAATGGCGAAGAAACCGATTGGCTCTGAGTAGTATCTTTACTAAAAAAACCGGAGTTTCCAGGGGGAAATGAGAATCCAGTGAGGGACCCGGAGCTTAGGGAGCCCAGGACCGAGCTATCGACTTTCTTGCCGAAGTTGAATGAGGCACTTGCTGCTCCTTGTCCCGGCTCGACTTTCTTTTCCAACGCAGCCTCCCTCTTCTTTTCTGACGTGGTCTCAGTCTGACTGCTGTGCAACAGAAACGTGGCCTCCTGCTGTAGTTTCGCTGACCCAAACGAGGGAGGGGGCGGGGCGTGCAGCGACCCACCCCCGGCGTCACTCTCCGAGTTGCTGCTGCTGCTGCTCTCGTGCTGCTCCTCGATGGCCGCCAGGTACTTCTCGTAGTCCTTGAAGATGGGCGTCAGATCGCAGAGGGGGTTCGTGTCCACGTGCTTCACGATCCAGTCCCGCACCGAGCAGTTGAGGGACGCCAGCTGCTCTCGGTAGGCACTCCCGGTGCCAGCTTTGGTGGAGCTGGAGGAGGAGGAGGAGAAGGACGACGAGGAGGAGGAGGGCTGCGCGCCTCTGCCATTGGCCTTGGGGTCGGAAACGTTTTTATCCATTTTTACAGGGCCATTTACAGCAAAAGAACCTGGAGGGAATTAAAGTTTGGACAATTTCTTTAGATGCTGCTTTACAGCGCGTCTTTTATTGGGGAGGGGGCACTGGTGCTTTATCTCAGGCCTGGCGCTGTCTGTGGCTTTTCACACCAAGCTCAGTCACACTGGAGTTGGGAGTGACCCAAACTCAAGCGCACTGCACCCCTGGCTCGGTGGAGACCAGGCCTGCGGCGGCCCGCGGCAGGGTCCTGTCTTAGCCTCGCCCCAGGATCGCTGCCTACAAAAACCCCAGCAGCTCTGAGGACCATCTCACTCACAACGAGAGCCCAGATCAGCGCTTGCGCTCCCGGCTGGTCTGGGGGCTCTGGCCAGGCCCGTGTGTGGGAGCGCCCGCGGTGCCAGCAGCAAGGCACACAGAAAGCTCCCGACGCGTGTGAGAGAATGGACAGAGCGACTGCCAGGTACTTCCTCCTACGCCTGCCCGAGCTGCCCAGAAGCAGGAAGCAGACCCAAGCGGGGTCTGTGCTCTGCGTGTGGCCTAGCTCTCCCAGGACCCAGCCCTTCGCCCCCATAGCCCACGGTTAAACACATCTCTAGCAAGTCACCTATAGCCTGGGGCACGCCGACTCACCAAAGGCCGCCTTGGGTTCTGCCGCCGCCCTGGCACTGCCCAAGGAAGGGGCACTGGGCGAGCTGTTTCCATTGGACAATCCTTCCAGAGGCTTCCCTCCAGCGCAGCCAAATGCAGAAAACCCTCCTCCTCCTGAAGGCACAACCAAACCTTTAAAACCTTTAAAGGCCCCTCCACTATCGGACTGAAAGGAAGAAAGAACACATGTTAGGCAGGCAGACCCGTGGCTGGCATAAAGCAGGGTGAGTGACAACTGTGCCTCATCCCAACAGCACCCAGGCCCAGACCGGATCAGCGCTGCCAGCCTGGCACACTGCGTGGGCAGGGACAGCAGCGGCGACGCCTCGCTCCCGAGGAAGGCCTGGTCCAAACCCTCACTCAAATAGCCACGGCGATCTTCTATGCTGAAATACGTCCTACCGCTGTGTTAAGGAGGGCTCGGGGGAGTTATAGGGTAAAGGGTTTGCCTGGCAAGTGTTTTAAGTCCTGAGTTCAAACCCCAGTACCGCTCAAAAGCACTATATATGCAAAAAACAAGGATTACTGTGATAACTCATCTACCCATCACACAACCTCAAAGTAATTCAAAACATTCTCAACAACTACATGCCATGCCCTTGCCCCAAACGCCTGAAGCAGCCTTCAAAAGTACCCGCCAGATGAACTAAAAATGCCTTTGAACTGCGATCCTCAGATCCCAGCTGCAACAGTGAGGACCACAGGTGTGAACCACCAGTGCTGGTGCCAGTGGTGCGAAGCCGTCTGGACAGACCAAACCATGAGACGCCTGTTTCCAGATTAACTAGCAAAAAGCCGAAACTGGAGATGTGGCTCAAATGGTAGAACACCAGCCTTGAATGAAAAAGCCTAGTGAGTAAAAGAACTTGAGAGTGAAAGACCCTGAGTTCAAGCCTCAGTGGCACACAAAAACCCAACCAACCAGACAAAATTCAGCCACTGCGGGCTGGAGGCATGGCTCAGTGATAGAACCGCCACCCGCCCAGTGAAATGTGAAGCCAGGTTCAAACCACAGCTCCACCGAAAAGAAAAAGAACCTGAACACTGCAAAGGAAGGGGAAGCAGTGCTTATTCTGAAACAGGCCTCAGCAGAGGTCCAGGGACAAAACCACTCTAGGTCCCGAGAACGAGGGAGAAGGCACAGACCAAGAGGAGTTCGTGTGTGTGTTGGGGGGAGTGTGACTTCTGAATACTGAGCACAGATGCAATTAGAGTGCCAATCCCTCCACCTGAGAACAGGAAGGAAGCCTCTTCTATACTGCACCACCACACGAGAGAGAAAACCAGCTGAGACTGCCACACCCACCGCTGCAAACACAGCTCTGCTCTGCGTGCCTTCTTATCACACCTGACAGTTTTCCTGCCCTCTGCTCTGCAAGCCTCCCTCTTCCTCTGAAACTGGTCCCCCAGCATAAATTCACCTCCCCTGCACTTGGGGGGACCCTTAAAGGGATAGATCCCACCACCATTTTTTTCCATTTCCTACATCTATACAAGTGTTTTATTTTTTGGCACTGGCACTGGGACTTGAACTCAGGGCCTCAGGCTCTTGCTTGGCCGTTTCATTCAAGTCCAGCACGCTACCACTTGAGCCACTCCGCCACTTCCAGCTTTTTAGTGGTTAACTGGAGATAAAAATCTTATGGACGGGGCTGGGAAGGTGGCTCAGTGGTAGAGCGCTTGCCTTGCGTGCATGAGGCCCTGGGTTCAATTCCTCAGCACCACGTAAGCAGAAAAAGCCAGAAGTGGCGCTGTGGCTAAAGTTGTAGAGCGCTAGCCTTGAGCTGAGGGACAGCGCCCAGGCCCAGAGTTCAGGCCCCACAACTGACAAAAAAAAAAAAAAAATCTTATGGACAGTTTGCCTGGGCTGGCTTTGAACCTTGATCCTCAGGTATCAGCCTCCTAAATAGCCAGAATTGCAGGTATGAACCACTTGTGCCTGGCCAGGAGGGGTAAACATTTGGGGGGGAAAGCATCTGTCGCGTACCGACTGCTCTGAGAGGCACACAATAGTCCGCAACTCAGAAGCCACAGGAGTTTTTAGGAGCAAAGTATAAAACAGCACTCACTTCAAACCCAACATTTCTACGCCTGGCTTTCTTTATGGCTCGGTTCTTCAATACTTCTTCACTGGCCACCGAGAATGTTCCCACCTGCAAGGGCACAGATCACACAGCAGAGGTCAGGTCAGGGAAGCGGTAGGCACTGGACAGGCCTGTCTCCTAACAGGAGGCTTCATGTACTGGAGACACACGGTCCCGAGCCACGTTAAGGGGACTCACTGCTATCATCCATAGATTCCTGTGGATCCCAATTTGAGTAAGGCAGACGGTGACTGAGAATCTACAAATACAGGTTCAAGTCCCAATTCGGAAAGAGGGGCGTGTCAACAATAGCTCTAGAAAGATCACAACTTTGGTGCAGATGTGCTCACAGTCGGACCTTTAAGTAGTTCAGATATACATTCTCAGATATTAGTGATAACGTTTACAATGAAATTTTGCTTTAAAAATACAAGCTACCACCAAGCACCAGTGGCTCGCTCCTGTAACCCTAGCTCCTCGGGAGGCCAAAATCTGAGAACTGCAGTTCAAAGCCAGCCTGGGCAAGAAAGTCTGTGAGACTCATCTCCAATGAGACATCAAAAAGAGTGGAGCTGTGGCTCAGTAGTAGAGCAAAATAAGCTCAGGGACAGAGCCCAGGCCAAGGAGGTCACACACCCTTTTACCCTGACAGGCTCATGTGATAAAGTGCTAGACCAACAAACCACCTGAGCATGAGGCCTTGAATTTAAAAAGAGAAAATACAACAATAAAAACCCTATCAATCAGAGCATACAGAACTGGTATCCTTCCAAAGCGACAACATGTTAATATTAAAAGAACTTATCAGCGTAGAGCTGGGCACATGGTCAAGTGGTAGAGCCTTTACCACTTAGCAAGAATAAAATCCCCATTTTATACCGCGATACTGCCAAAAAAAAAAATTTCAGAAACATTTCTACAGACTTATTTTTTTAACACCATTATTAATTTAAAAGGTTAACTCGCTACAGATTTCCTTAGTAAACCAGCTCAAGAATATCAAACTAGGCAGGGCTCCAGTGGCTCACGCCTGTAATCCTACTCAGAAAGCTGAGATCTGAGGATTGCGGTTCAAAGCCAGCCCGGGCAGGAAAAGTCTGTGAGACTCTTAGAAAACCGGAAATGGTGCTGTGGCTCAAGCGGCAGAACGTTCACCTTGAGCTGAAGAGCACAGGGACGGCACCCAAGCCCAGAGTTCAAAACCCACGACAAAAAAAAAAAAGTCTCAAACTACCAATGGAACACTAGACTGCAGCTATGGTCTACTTCTTAATAGTTTCACTAAGCAGCCCAGGCTGGTCTCATTAAAGGTGCTTGGCACCATGTCTAGCCTGTGTTCTATTATCACTAAGAGGAAAAAAATAAAGAGTCCTTCCATACAAACGTTTGATTCAGCTGGGGAAGAAAAAGCCATGCTGAGCTGCTACTCATACTCCTCACCTGCTATGATCTTGGAACTGCAAACAGAGCAGTAGAACAGCTGCAGAGCAGGGGAGGTGATCTCTAAAATCACAAGGACAGCACAGTAACATGGTGACAGCGGACCATGAACCTGAGTGTCCCCACTGTATGAAATTCTGGAGGAAGACATCCCTGCAAAGCACTCAGTTCCAGACAGGTGCTAGTGGACAGCACACTGAACCTTTGAAGAGCCACGTGCTGTGAGCAGAGTCAAAGCCCGGACACGCTTCTGTCCACACGCTGACCATGTCCGCATCCTACCGTCTGTCTTTGGGGAGAATTCCAAAATAATTTACATGGAGACACATTAAAAAGCACTGCTCTTCAGGAAAGGAAACCGCTTTTACCTCTTCAGCACCATCTTCCTGATCCCAGTTCCTATCTGTCAACTCCTTCTCGGCAATTCTTTTGGCCATTTTTTCGAATCTAAAAAACAAGAACAAAAAGTTTAAGTTTTATATCCAATGTAACGGTATGAAGACAGCACAGGGGATTTTAATGAAAGCTGCAGACAGGGACTGGGAACAGAGAAAGAGAAAGCCTTAAGAGGGTTATCTGAACAAAATAGAACACATGCACAGATGAAATACTATGGCAAAACCTCCTGGTGCAATTAACACACATGAAAAAAACCACAGAAGAGTGAAACAGGTTCTGTGGAGGGGGGGTCACGAGCAGGAGCAGGTTAACAAGGGCAGGAAGACCAAGGTGGCCTGCACGAGTGGTCCATGTTCGAGGAGGTAGGGCAAGGGCAGAGACCGAGGGGGACACTGTGGACACCTCCTAATGACACCTCCACGTCCAACTAACACAGGCTTAAAGAAAGAAGAAGGTCGCCTCTCTAGACCACGATGCAGCTCTTACAGAGAACCTAAGAAGTTCACTGTAGCATGAAACAGAACGTTCCTGATGCCAATGAAGATGGCACCAAGAGGTTTAGGACAGGGTGCGAGGCTCCACGGCTCCGCACCAGTGAAGGATTGTGGGAAGAGGGACACTGGCTCTCTCCTGAGCGACCCTCAGCCAAGCTCCATCACAAACATTCAGCCACTGGTTTCTACCCCGTCTTAGGCTAGAGGCGTAGTCCAAGTGGGAGAATGCTTACCTAGCAATCGTGAAGCCTTAAGTTCAAATCCCAGTACCACCAGAAAAAAAATTTAATCTAGAATATTTGTATGGTACAGTATATAGTTATTAAGCACTTGGTGAACTTACTCTATGAAAGTTACATTTACAGTCATTTTTGCCACAAGTAAAACTTTTATTTATTTATTTTGTTGGAAGCAGGGCCTGAACTCTGGGCTTGGGCACTGTCCCTGAACTCTTCAGCTCAAGGCTAGTGCTCTACCATTTGAGCCACAGCACCACTTCCAGTTTTCTGGTAGTTAATTGGAGATAAGAGTCTCAAGGACTTTCCTGCACAGGCTGGCTTTGAACCGTGATCCTCAGATCTCAGCCACCTGAGTAGCTAAGATTACAGGCATGAGCCACTGATGCTCGGCTTCCCCCCCCTCAGGACCTAGGTGCTGTCCCTGAGCTTTTTTTTTTTTTTTTTTTTTTTTTTGCTTAAGGCTAACATGCTACCCTGTAAGCCACAGCTCTACTTCTGGTTTTCAGTAATTACTGGAGGTAAGAGTCTCATGGACTTTCTTGCTTAAGCTTAGCTTTGGAACTGCAACTCTTAGATCTCCTAAGTAGCTATGTGTGAGCCACCAGTACCTGGCTGTAAGACATTTTTCATATTTAAAAATTATTCTTAAAGATTATGTATCAGTGTATCCTAGGTAAGCTCTTTAATGATAAGACACTGGAAATACTTTCACACATGAGTACTCTTTTTTAGCCTACCACATGATTAATCCCGTGTGTCCTAAAAGGTGCACTGGGCAAAGCTAAGCCACCATCCAGGAACTCGAAGTACCAAGGTGGATGTGTTAACACTCAAAGAATGTCTAATACTTACAGACTCTCAATTCAACTCTCCCAAGACCATGGCATTAGGAGTTTGGAGTTGGGAGAATTATATCCTTTGTTGTAAGTATGTATCAATAACAAAAGAAAAAACCCACTGAGAGCAGTCACCTCTAAGGGACAAGAAAACACCCCTCACCTGCCAGGGCTCGCCACACTTGCCAGGCTTCCTTCCTCATTCATTTGCCCTCAGAAACTCAACCCACTGGAGTAAGCCTGCTACACACCAGTAATTCTAGCTACTCAGCAGGCTGAATCTGAGAATAGCAGTTTGAAGCCAGCCCAAGCAAGAAAGTTCATGACTCATCTCCAGTGGACCAGCAAACAGTGAAGGGGAGCTGTGACTCAAGCGGCAGAGTGCCAGCCTTGAGCAAAAAATACAAGGGGCACTGCCCAAGCCCTGAGTTCCAGTGCTAGCACACACACAAAAAGGACAGGGACTTACATACACCTGCTGCTGTGCAGCACACAAACAACAGCTACAGAGCGACACGCAGTCCTTCGAGGGCTGATGCTCATTATTAAGGTGTTGTACTTCCTTGGCAGTGTCACCCTTTCCTTTGCGCCTGTCCTTGCAGAGTTCCTGTTCCACACAGTGTCTACTGACTGCTGGCCCTTCCTCCCGTCTCTCTCCGTGCTTCCCCTTAATTCCCCCAAGGACGACAAAAAATAAAAAGCGACCGCGACTCCCCTAAGGCTTCAGCTTTTAGTACATTCTAGTCATTTTCCTCATACTTTGTCTGGCTTAAAAATGATTTTAAAGACCAGCACCGCAAAATACAATGTAGGACATTTAATAACTACACTGTCATTAACCGGGAATTCTCCTTCTAGGCTCCAGTTTCCAGTGTAGGAAGAGATGTAATTCTTCCCCGATTGCATCCGTGGATTCTTTTGCAGTTTTCCAGTTCGTTCACTGGCATCTCCACCAGAGGGCGAGGGGGTAACGGGAAGAGCCCGGACTGAACACAAAGGGGGCGGGGTGGGGCTGAAGGCGAGCCGGGAGCAGGTCGAGGGCACCGGCCCGGGAGGGGCGAGCGCGCCCGGCACACGCGGCTGCGG